ACTGCATTATTTTCTTCATGCTTAAGCATTTCAAATGTAAGTTGTCCAACACTAGCTCCTGTTTTGCCCATAGGAAATTTGATAGGATCTAAATTATGAAGATCATGTCTAAGTTCATCTCTTACATTTTCTAAAGTAAGTGTTCCTTCAAGCACCTTGTTGAAACCAGCTGCCAATGCACCTAAATAATCTTGGTTGATCTCTGTAAAATTTGTAGTCCACCTTGAAGGATCTATGTTCCAAATATGATATAAAATCACAAATAAGCTATCATATGCACAACTGTAATTTATACCATCCCATTGAAGTCCCAACTTGATGCTAGACTTAGGCTTCAGTATTTTTTTACTCTTTTTCTTTATATTAATCTCATCATCATCATCCAGCTTATGCTTGACTGCAACTGATCCCTTAGCTGGGACAAATGTTGAAGCTTTCTTGGGTTGCTCTGCTTTCTTATCTTTGCCTCTCTTAATTATCTGCCATGGACTGTCTGTAACCACAGGTAGTATATCCATTGGATCACTTTCACTCCACCTCAAAGATGCATCTGTTTTCTCTGGAACATATGCTGTACCTTTCCAGTTTTGAAAATTTCTGATTAATGAATTGTGTGTGTATCCTACAACACAAGGAGGAAGTGACCCTTCATATCTAAGCCTGGTAATTTCATCTAGAAGTTCTTGTTCTCTGAGTTCCTGCCTAAGATATTTTGCACATCCTCTAGTAACAATACTGGGCTCAAAGCCTTGTAGAATGATAGTTCCAGCTGCACTTGCACTTCTGGAGAGGCAAGTATAGTAAGACATATGAGTATGGCAGCTGTTGAGATGGACAACATTGTATGGTCTAGTTTTTCCTTGAGCTGCATAATCTGTCATTGCAAAATTAGGTAGAACCCAAACTTGTTGTCTTTCTATAGACTCCTTCAGGTCACTAGGGAATGTACATGTAATAGTTTTAGTTCCCTTGACTAAAGGTACCACATTTTCTGGAAGCCCAGGTATTTTAATAGTTTTTGAAGGCTTATCTAATTTTACAAATAGAGTGTCCAGTATTCTCTTTCCATGTGGACCTTTCTTTGCCTGCCATCCAACTACAAAACCTTCTTGACCTTTTGTTATGCACAGCTCAGTTGCATCATTATTTCTGATCATCACAGGCATTCCAAGGCAGAGTGAAAGCTTTCCAGCAAAGTGTTCAGTTGATCCATGTCTGACATTCCAGATTTGATGTTGATCATCAAAGTCAATTTCATTTGACTTGTGCTTTGATTTTGAAGCAGCCTTTGATTTTCCCCACTTTGTTTTATTAGCTGGATCAGCATCCTTTCCCCACTTATCTACAGAGTAAAAATGGGTCAATTTTTGGCCTGTCTCCTCAGCAAATCTTTCACACCCCATTTGATTAATTTGATCTTTTTGTGTGTGTCTTCCACATATAATTGCCACATTTCTGAATTCCTTTGAAGCAATGTTAGGTCTTCCTGGCTTTTTACTGGCTTGAAGAGTTCTCAAAAATTTAATGTCCTCAGCAGTACAATTTCCATATCTCATATTCACCAATGCTTTTCTCAGTGATGCATCTTGGGGAGTCTGAGTTTTCTGCCTCATATTCTCTCTAAGTATGACTACAGTTGTAACCTGATGCCAGAGAGCTTTTCCTACAGCAGCTTCTTGGCCACCTGGCTTTAAGCCTGAATGGACTTGTGTTCCAACTGAGTGACTGTATAGAGATTGACCACCAACAGGGGGCAGTTGGGCAAAATCACCAGCAAATATCATATTAACTTGTGTAAGAGGGGGATCGCAAGCGACGGCAGGTACGAG